ACATGACATATTCAAGTGTGTTTTTCTTTTAATCTATCACAATCACTTTGAAAGCTGGATTAAAAAAAAAAATTTGAACCTAATGTTTATGTAATCTGGGAAGCAATAAAGAACACAATTTGAAAACCACCTGGAAAGATGTGCCTATGATGAAAACCTGTGAGATTTAGTGAGAAGCCACTTTGTGATTCAATGGCTTTAGGCTAAGCTTCATTCTCAGATAAGTGGTGTTCCCCTATGGCTTTTCTTTTTTCTTTTTTAAATAAATGATTTTAGAGAAAGAAGGAAGGAGAGGAAGAAAGGAAGAGAAGGATGGGGGGAAGGAGGGAGGGAATGCCGTAGACCAATTCCAGCATGTCATAATTTCAAGAGTTTCATCAAAAGGTTGATGAGACTTGGGGACTCAACAGGGTTGAGTCACACATGTAGTCACCTGCATCTGGGAATGGCTTAAGGCATTTCCCCAAACCTGAATAGGATACAATAAATTGATTGTGGCTGCCAGACAGTTAAAAGGCATCTTAAACTACATGTTATTGCCTCCTGCTGGCCAAACACCAGAACAGCCGTAGGCTAATTCCCCTATTCTGATAATGGACTCTGTACCAAACCCTGACCCTTTTAAGATATCTCTGCTGCCTTGCCTCAGGACAAATTGTGTTAATAAAAAGCATGGGGTCCTGGGGATGGAGAGAACCTAAGACCTTAGATTTAAGATCTTGGATCTTAGCTCCTTTAGCTAAGCTCCTCTGACCCCCAATGCCTTTCAAAATTATATTTCGTCTCCGGATTCTTTTAGTCTCTGGATTCCTATTTAATCTACGTACAGCCCCTTCTCCAGATTCCTGAACCCTTCTTGATGCTGGGACAAGAACCCCGGCATGAAGGAGAGAGAGGGAGAGAGAGAAACATCAATATCAGAGAGAACTGCAAGCAACAAACCCTGACCAAGGACTGAACCCGCAACCCGGGCATATGCCCTGACTGGGAATGGAACTGGGATCTTTCGGTGCATGGGAAGATGCTCAACCAACTGAGCCACACTGGCCAGGGCCCCTTAATCCCCCATCTTCTCCCACCCTAGACTGCTGTACCCCCAAAAACAATAGCTCTCAATCTCAGCCTTTCCCACTTTGAGGAATGCCACCCTTCTCACTTTGCCCCAAAGTCTTTTTACAGCCATTAGAATAACATGATACTGATGAACACAAGTCTGTGTTTCAAACTCACTTTCCATTGGCCTGTATAACTAGATATGTTGGTCTTGTGTTGACTACCACACCTTAATTAGTATCATCATTATTAAAATCAGTAATATAAATTCTGGAATGGGAAAATATAGCTATAAAGGACTTGACTAGGACAACTGATGACATTTTAGCATATAGACTATCGATTAGATAATGGCATATTTCAACATTATATTTCAGGATTTTGATAATTACTGTGATTATGTAAGAGAATGTCTTTGTTCTTATAAGTACTGAACTATCCAGGGCAAAGAGGTGTGATGTCTTTAATTCTCAAGTGATTCAGCAAATATATACATACACACACCCAGAATGTTACAGAAAACAATTGGTGAATCTAAAAAAAGGGTATAATGGGTTTCCATGTACTATTTTCCATAGTTTAAAATTATACAACAATAAAATAAAAAATCGTAACTAAGCTAACATTTATTGATGTTTGCCTTCTATAGGATTAAATAAATTATCTCATTTGATCCTTTAAAAATCCTATAAATTAGGCACTATTTTTGGTGTTATTTTACAGCTATACATACAGATTATTGAAACTTTCCCCAGGGTCACATAGCTGAGGGAAGACAAGATTTTACCCTAAGTCTGTTCCATTAAGAGTCAAAGCTCTTAAATATTGCCTTTATAGTATAATCTTTTTCTCTCAACCTTATCACAGAAGCTAGAAGCTACTATTTGGGTTCCAAGCATTGTTATTCATTAAAACATCATAGTTCTTATTCTCTTCACAGATCTCAGGGCATGTGAGAATCATCACTGAAGTCAGGGCTAGAAATGAAATTTCATCAAAGCCATCAGCACCAACAGCAAGAACCGAGAAATTATCCTGTAACATTAATTTTTCTTTTTTTAAATATATATTTTTATTGATATTTTACAGAGAGGAAAGGAGAGGGATAAGAGTTAGAAACATCGATGAGAGAGAAACATCGATCAGCTGCCTCCCACACCCCCCCCCCCCCACTGGGGATTGCCCGCAACCAAGGTACACGCCCTTGACCAGAATCGAACCTGGGACCCTTCAGTCTGCAGGCCGATGCTCTATCCACTGAACTAAACCAGTCAGGGCTACATTAATTTTTCTTAAAACAAAACAAAAAAACCCCCAAACCTTAAAATGCAGTCAATTCAGTTGCACTTAGGTATGTCCAAATTTTTAACAATAAAAAGATTTTCAATTATATTTACTATACATAAAAATCATGCTAATGGGTTATCTTCCCTAGAGAGACTGAAAGCTCAATGCCAGGGAACTAATCTACAAGACCTTACTGCACTCCAGTCAGGACAGCAATGTCACCATGACCCGCACACCAGGCAATGGAAATAGTCTGACTGTATATAGAACAGGTTGCTAGAATGGCTCTTAGACAAAGATTCTACTTATACCAATACAGGGGAAATGTACACTCTCTTGAAATATACATTAGCTACTGAGAGTCTCCTGGGAAACCCTTTATGTTCTTATCTGCCCTCAGATGGATGTAGGACCATGATGTAGTAGCCATGGTTAAATGCAAAGTTAGGTCCTTTCCCAGTCAGGAGAATTATGTAGGCAGGATCCTAACACCCACTATAGAAAACTATAAAAGACCCAATTTTTAAAAAATATTTTTTAAAATTGATTTTTAGAGAGAGAGGAAGGGAGAAGGATAGAGTGATATAAACACCGATGAGAGAGAAACATCATCAATCAGCTGTCTTGCCCCCTATTGGGGGGCTGAGCCCATAACCCCAAGCAAATCGAACCAGCAACCTTTTGTTTCATGGGTCAATGCTCAACCACTGAGCCACACTGGTCTGGCTAAAGGACCCATTTTGAAGTCTACAATCAGCAAATAAAAACAAGAGAAAAAATAATTTAGCTATATAAAGTCCTAATTCTGGTCAATAGTAAAGCATTAATGTCAGGCTATTACTTCTGAATTTCCAAACACTCAAATATGTGTTTTCTACTTGGGGTAAAGTTAAAATAATGACAAGCATATGAATTCTTGTAATTATGATAAAATATTATGCAATACAAACATAAGCGGAATGTAATTTTTAACTTATTTCATTTATTAGAACTCTTCTATGCTTAGTTTATAATACAGTCCATAAAATCACTTTTACAAGTGAGCGAAAACTATAGAAATTATCTAGTTACTCTATCATATTGTTCACTTGTGTGTTTTTTCATACTGTTCACTTGTACTGAGCTTAACAATAAATGAAAACAATTCTTTTATACCTATTCACTCAAATACCTGTCCACCCTGATATCCTTTTAAATTCATGTTATGTAATAATGTTTTCTTTCCTACCATTCATCTCTGTTCATGTTTGGTTTGGTCTTTTGATTCAGCTTGTTGAAATAATTATGAATCTTTAACCTGAGTATGTTGATCCTACTTTTGATACTTATATCTTCTCTTTGCCCAGTGGGCCAGAGGCAGCTGTGTTCAGAGTCCTGGCTAAGACTAAACTTCCCATAAGTGAATATTATTTAGTTAATAACAACAATACTGGTAATAATAGTTATTATATAATCTTAGTACATACTAAACATTAATAGGTTCCAGGCACTTGTTCTAAGCACTTTACAAGCAATATACCATTGACTCCTCATAATAACCTTATAAGTATTATTACTACTACTACTACTACTACTACTACTACTACTACTAGAGGCCTGGTGCATGAAACTCGTGCATGGGGGGCGGGGAGAGGTGTCCCGCAGCCCGGCCGGCACCCTTTCCAATCTGGGACTCCTCAGGGAATGTCTGACTGCCGGTTTAGGTGCAATCCCTGTGGGGGTAGGACCTAAGCCAGCAGTCAGACATCCCTCTCACAGTCCAGGACGACTGGCTCCTAACCACTCACCTGCCTGCCTGCCTAATGCCCCCAACTGCCCACCCCTGCCGGCCTGGTCGCCAACTGCCCTCCCCTGCAGGCCTGGTCGCCCCCAACTGTCCTCCCTGCAGGCCTGGTTGCCCCCAACGGCCCTCCCCTGCTGGCCTGATCTCGCCCCTAACTGCCCTCCCCTGCCAGCCTGATCTCGCCCCTAACTGCTCTCCCCTGCTGGCCTGATTGCCCCTAACTGCCTCTGCCTCGGCCCCCACCACCATGGCTTTGTCCGGAAGGAAGTCAGACGTCTAGAAGATAGCCGGTTGACCCGGTCTAATTAGCATATTACCCTTTTATTAGTATAGATTAGTATTATTACTATATACATTTTCTAAATGAGACATGTGGCACTGAAAAGTTAATTTTCTAGATTAAACAAAAAACTATAAAGTGGGGCACTGGATTTGACTTCAAGTAGGAGCCCATATTCTTAACCAGTAGAACATATTATTACCTCTCAATTTGGACACACATAACATAATAAAATGAAACTTCATTCCAATAATTTGAAATAAGTTTACAGACTTTTGTATTAAAAGTTAATTTAATAGCCCTGGTTGGGTAACTTGGTTGGTTAGAGTGTCATCCTGTATACCAAAAGGTTGTGGGGCACATATGGAAGGCAGTATTTCTCTCTCAGGTCAATGTCTCCCCTCCACCCCCCACCTTCTCAAATCAATAAAAAACATATCCTCAAGTGAGAATTTTTTAAAAAAGTTAATTCAATAAATGTAAACTTCCTTTACTTTTTTAAAGAATAAAGTTGTACTATACTTGATGCCCAAGACTCAACTCCTTAGTGAAACCTTTAGGCAGGTGGCTAGAACCAAGTGGGACTGGTGCAGGTACCTGGATGCGCTGAGGTGAGGCTACCGCAGAGTCCGTGGAGATTATCTGGATGCGTGGGGAGGGGCTGGTCATCCCTGGAGATTCTGGCCGAGAAGTCTGTGTACGTGGTACCTGTGGGCAAAAAGTGGGCTAGATCACAAGGGGGCTCAGAAAGATGCCTAGTGGTGGCCTAAGGACCATGCCTTTTGCTTTCACAGTGGCCTTGAGTGATTAACTAATGTAGTTGTAGAATGGACACAGGATGATAAAGGAATCAATGAGATATTGGCACAGGATGGTACAAAGAAAATACAATCGTAAAATAGCTGTTTCTAATGTTGTACATGCAAGGGAGGGGGTGGGGGGAGAAATTTTCAAGTCTGCTCTGCACAATTTTAACACAATAAAAAGCTACCAAAATAAATTTTTAAAGATGATCTTTGAATTTTTTCACGGTCTCCAAAGCTACCTATAAAACACTCCTTCAGATGAGTTTCCAAAAAGAATGCTCTAGTAACACTGTAGAAGATGGCAAACAGAACCATGGAACACTGAAAACTATTGGGATTAGTACCCATGAAAGAGTCCTGGCAATCTCCCAGCCCCACTTTTACGTATATACTCAAGAGAAAGGCAAACATATGTCCACACAAAAATCTGTAAAAAATGTTCACATAGTATTATTCATAGTAGCTCAAAAGTAGAAACAAATCAAATGTCTATCAACTGATGAATAAATAAAATGTAGCATATATCCATGCAATAAAAAGGAATGTAGTACTGATACATTTGACAGCATTGATTATATCAGTCACAAAAGACCATATATTCACCCTGGCTGGTTTGGCTCAATGGATAGAGCATCGGCCTGTGGACCAAAGGGTCCCAGGTTCAATTCTGGTTAAGGGCACGTACCTTGGTTGCAGGCTCCTCCCCAGCCCAGGCCCTGGTCTGGGCACGTGCAGGAGGCAACCAATCAATGTGTTTCTCTCACATCAGTATTTCTCTCTCTCTTTCCCTCTCTCCCCCACTCTCACTAAAAATCAATGGAAAAATATCCTCAGGTGAGGATTAACAACAACAAAAATAAACAATAAATACTAGTAAGTAAAACATTAAAAATAAAAGACCATATATTCTATGATTTCATTTATATAAAACGTCCAGAACAGGCAAACCAATCAGAATTGAAAGTAGGTTAGTGGTTGCCAAGGGCTGAGGGGATAGAGGAAGGGGGATTAACTGCTAATAGGTATAAAATTTCTTTCTGGGGTGATGAAAAATTTTGGGAATTAGATAGTGGTGGTAGCTGTCAACTTTATGGTTATACTACAATGTATAATTTAAAAGGATGAATTTTATGGTAAGTTAATATATCTTAATTTTATAAAGGATATCATGATTAATTACTGGGATAAGTTATACAGATATTTTCTTTCATAAGCATTAATTTTACCAACAAAAATTCACTATAATAAATAACAGAACCCAACATTCTCACAGAGATTTTCACTTTACAAAATGCTTCATATAAATTCTCTCCTGGTTAAGAGATAAGCAGAATAGACACAAACTATTTTAGAGAAGGTGTGATAAGGCTCAAATCCTGGAGAATACATTTTTCAGAATCCATGTACATGCATTTGCTAGCTGTTTACTATTTGTAATTAAGAAAAAGTAACTGGCCAGTCACTTTATCAGAGTACACTTATTAATTTCTTCTTTAATAACAAACATTTAGAATTTTGGATGAGTCTTTTATTACTCTGAAAATTAAGAGCTCTTTCTTTTTTACAGTCTCATAATATTCCACTGTGCAAATGTACCACAACTTTTTTGTCCACTCATCTACTGTTTCCAGATCTTAGCTATTGTAAATTGTGCTATGAACATAGGGGTGCATACATTCTTTCTGATTGGTGTTTTGGATTTCTTAGGATATATTCCTGTAAGTGGGATCACTAGGTCAAATGGCAGTTCCATATTTAATTCTTTGAGGAAACTCCTTACTGTTTTTTATAGTGGCTGTACCAGTCTGCATTCCCATTGATATCTTCTTTTTTAAAAATGTTTTTACTGATTTTTAGAGAGAGCGAAGAAAAGAGGGATAGAGAGGTAGAAACATCAATGAGGAGAGAGAAACATACTCTCCAGGTCCCTCCATGCTATCTCAAAGGGTAAGAGATCTTTTTTACTGCTGCATAGTATTCCACAGTGTAAATGTACCACAGCTTTTCTATCCACTCATCTACTGATGGGCACTTGAGTTGTTTCCAGATCTTAGCTATTGTAAATAATGCTATGAACATAGGGGTGCATATATTCTTTCTAATTGGTATTTCTGGCTTCTTAGGATATATGCCCAAAAGTGGGATTGTGGATCAAACAACAGTTCCATTTTTAATTTTTTGAGGAAATTCATTTATTCAATCTAGTAGTTTTTTTGTGGAGTCTTTAGGTTTTTCTATGTACAATATTATGTCATCTGTGAACAATGTCCATTTTAGTTCCTCCTTTCCAATTTGGATTCCTTTTTTTTTTTTCTTGTCTGATCACTGTGAATAGGATTTCCAGTACTATGTTGAATAAGAATGGTGAATGCAAAAAAAAAAAAAAGAATGGTGAATGCAGCCCTGATCGGTTTGGCTCAGTGGATAGAGTGTCAGCCTGTGGACTGAAGGGTTCCAGGTTTGATTCTGGTCAGGGACACATGCCTGGCTTGTGGGCTCAATCCCCGGTGTAAGGCATGCAGGAGGCAGCCGATCGATGATTCTCTCTCATCATCAATGTTTCTCTCTCTCTGTCTCTCTCTCTCTCTCTCTCTCTCTCTCTCTCTCTCCCTTCCTCTCTGAAATCAATAAAAATAATAATATTAAACCCTACTTCACATCATATAAAAATTTGAAAAAAAACAGGTATAAATCTTCATGATCTTTGATTAGGCATTGATTTCTTAGCCATTATACTTAAAGGACAATAAACAATAGAAAAACTGCCCTAGCTGGTTTGGCTCAGTGGATAAGTGTAGACCTATGGACTGAAGGGTTCTGGGTTCGATACAGGCCAAGGGCACATGGCTGGGTTGTAGACTCGATCCCCAGTGGGGGTGTGTGTGTGCAGGAGGCAGTTGATCAATGATTCTCTCTCATCATTGATGTTTCTATCTCTCCCTCCCTTCCTCTCTAAAATCAATAAAAATATATTTTTAAATTTTTAATTTTTTGAGTAAACTCCACACTGTTCTCCACAGTGGCTGCACCAGTCTGCATTCCCACCAGCAATGAAAGAGGGTTCCTTTTTCTCTGCATCCTCTCCAGCACTTGTCATTTGTTGATGATAGCCATTGTGACAGGTGTGAGATGGTACCTCATTGTTGTTTTGATTTGCATCTCTCAGATGATTAGTGACTTTGAGCATGTTTTCATATGTCTCTTGGCCTTCTGTATGTCCTCTTTCAAAAAGTGTCTATCTAGGGCCTTTGCCCATTTTTTGATTGGATTGTTTATCTTCCTTTTGTTGTTTAATGAGTTCCCTATAAATTTTGGAGATTAAACCCTTATCAGAGATAACATTGGCAAATATGTCCTCCCATGCAGTGGGCTTTCTTGTTGTTTTGTTGATGGTTTCTTTCACTGTGCAGAAGCTTTTTATTTTGATGTAGTCCCATTTGTTTATTTTCTCCTTAGTTTCCATTGCCCTAAGAGCTGTTTGGTAAAGATATTGCTATGACAAATGTCTGCTATTTTGCTGCCTATGGCTTCTTTTGGGATTTTTATGCTTTCCAGTCTTATGTTTAAGTCCTTTATCCATTTTGAGTTTATTTTTGTATGGTGTAAGTTGGTGGTCTAGTTTCATTTTTTTGCATGTATCTGTCCAATTTTCCCAACACCATTTATTGAAGAGACTCAGTGATCCCACTTCTAGGAATAGATCCCAAGAAAACAGAAACACCAATCAGAAAGGATATATGCACCCCTATGTTCATAACAGCACAATTTACAATAGTTAAGATTTGGAAACAGTCTAAGTGCCTATCAGTAGATGAGTGGATTAGAAAACTGTGGTACATCTACACAATGGAATACTACGCTGCTGTAAAAAAGAAGTAATTCTTACCATTTGCAACAGCATGGATGGAACTGGAGAGCATTATGCTAAGCAAAATAAGCCAGTCAGAGAAAGATAAATATCACACAATCTCATTCATTTGTGGAATATAATGAACAATATAAACTGATGAACAAAAATAGAACCATAGTCAATAGAAGCATTGAACAGACTGTGCAAATTATGAGGGAAGGTGGGGGGTGAAAGGGTAAGAGATCAACCAAAGGACTTGTATACACGCATATGAACATAACCAATGGACATAGACGGGGGTAGGGTGAGGGCATGTACTGGGGGGTGGGGGCGGCTAGGGAGAGGTCAATGAGAAAAAAGAAGACTTACGTAATACTTTAAACAATAAAGAATTTAATTAAAAACAAAACAAAAACTATAGAAAAAGTAGGTAAGATGTACTTTGTCAAAATTGAAAACTTTCGTGCTTAAAAGGATACTACAGTGGGGCCTTGACTTACGAGTGTCCCGACTAACGAGTTTTTCAAGATACGAGCAGTCTCTCGGCAGATTTTTTGCTTTGAGTTGAGAGCTAAAATTCGGGTTACGAGCCAGCTTCAGATACCCCACCGCCAGTTGGCGCAGTGAACGTCACAGTGAATGCCACAACATCAGCCCAGCATCACGTGTCTCACTCGTTCACTGATGATTTGACATACGAATAATTTGAGTTACGAGCTCCGTCACGGAACGAATTAAACTCGTAAGTCAAGGCCCCACTGTATATAGAAAGTGAAAAAAAATCCAGGGAGTGGGAGAAAATATTTGCAAATCATATATCTGACAAGGGACTTATATTGACACTATAAAGAACTCTTATAATTCAATTACAATACTATTAAAAAGAATTTTAAAATAACAAAGATGAATAGACATTTCTCCAAAGAAGATATACATATGCCCAATAACTCCATGAAAAGATGCTCAACATCATTAGCCATTACAGAAATTCAAATCAAAATCACATTAAGCCCTAGCCAGTTTGGCTCAGTGGCTAGAGCATCGACCTGCAG